ACCGACTAGGAATGGGTTACTGGATGCCTGTTCAAACACATGTTTTTCTGTCTGCACCCAATCAATATCCTAAAACAAAGTAATTGAAGAGTCACAATGGCTGCTGTACAAACAGCGTATGGGCAATACCAAGAGTCACAAGACGTTTATTTACTCTTGCTTGCACATTCATCACTGTTAAAGCATTCGCTTTAACAATGTCCTCCAGCTCAACGTACTTTCTGAATTAACGTACAGATGTTAAAGGTTCCCTCAACTGTGGAAACAAGAAGTGGGGCACAGGTGATTGAGGGAGAGTGAATATGCATTTGGGGAAAGGTCAGCCCACATACACTTGTCACTTGCTTGCCAATACTACCCTGTACTGAGAAGCAATGCCCAATGTTCTAAGGTAGACAGAATTCTGATGCAGACGTCATGTTGCCCAAAGTTAACTTAAGCTGGCCAGGCTGCAGATAATTTATCAATGTTAAACCTTAACCTCCATGTGTAGTCCCGTTTTTTTTGTTTTGTTTTTAAACATTCCATTGCAAGCAGTGTGTCTACTTCCTTTTTATGGAAGGAAAACTGTGTGGGGAGAAACATCGTTGATTTGTTACAACAGTCTGATCACCCACCTTCCTAAACTTTATTTAGAAAATGGAGCAGAGACCTGGCTCCAAGAGGCTCACAAAGTATGATAAAAGTCATAAAACCAACATAAAATAGAATGATCAATTACAACTGAAATTGCTTTGAGAGCCCTTTTGTTATTTGGCCATAGCTACCTTCGAGGAGTAAACTATTAGCATTAATCTTTAAAAAACCACTGGTCTCCATAAAGCCAAGAATCAACTCTTCCTCGCTGCTTAATTAAGATTTCCATGTAGTCAAAAAGGATGACATCTGTCCAGTATCTGATACATCTGCAACCTGCTGGTCTTCCAAGAAACTCAAAGAAGAATATCAGCCATTCCCCTGATGACTTATTCTGCCTTAGACCTGCTATGTTTCAAAGAGATCACTACCTACCTTAACCTGACCAAACTAGCAACAGTTGCATACATGCCAGGCTTAAACACAATGGTCAAGTTAATTTTACTTCCTCAACATGAATACATGATTCAGTTTAAGGCGCTGAATCAGACTCTTACCTCATCATCATGGACTAATTCTTTCTTCACTACTTTCATGGCATAAACTTGGTCATTCTTTTTTAACCGTACTAAAAGAACTTTGGCATAGCTTCCACGTCCAATCACTCTGATCAGATCAAAGTCCTGCAGGCCAAGCCCCTGAGAGATCTTAATTCCGTCCATTCCATCGATAACAGGCTTGAGATCCTGTATGGGCAGGTAAGCGGGTAAAACACGGCACAGTCTTTTAAACAAGAAATAAAGGAGTTAATGCCGCCACAGCTGCATCACCCACCCAGAAGCGCAAGGTTTCTGAAAACCATTCTTTCTATTTCAGCTTACATCTAAGGCACCAAAAGGGTCTAACACTTGAAAGCGTGCTGATGACTTTAAAGGAAGAATATTACTCAAGATGTAGTCAGAATGCTTTGGTCAAATAAGATGTCTGTTCTGAGTTTGAAACATGGGCACAGATTTAAAAGGGAAAAGAAAATTGAATGTTTTATATGTGGTGCAAAACATCTGGCAGGAGGCTGTTGTCTGGTTTTCCTTTTAAATTCACAATTTCTGGCATTTTTAAATTCACAGTCTCTGGCCAGATGATTTGCACCACATTACACTCCTGCCAGTCACCTTCTTTGCAGCAGTACCTTGCACAAGAAAAGAGTCTTGTTACAACTTCATGGCATACAATTATAAACTGCTTCGGCAGATTCAGCTGCGTTGTTAACTATACATTATTTTTATCTTGTTGTATGGTTATAATGCATTTGTGCCCTTGCAGTTCTAGCTGCTTTGTTAGCTGCCTTGAGTCCCTTCCCAACAGGTAAGGCAGGATATCAATATTTTAAAATCAAATAACCAAACAAACATGCGGTGTAAATGGTGGGGACTGTCCAGCCATAAAGCTCTGAAAGTGACACAGACAACCCAACTGGAAGGTATCTCTATGGCTACATAGCAATATTGACTTGCCCGGCAACTGTGGGGCTATTTTCACTCACTGATTGAAACTAGCTTCAAGTACCTGAAAGACCAGCAAAACTTTTCAAAGGTATAAGCTTCCACAGGTCAGCAACTTTTTTGTATCTAATGAAGTGGCCCTTAACTCACAAAAGCTTATACCCCAGGAAAATTTTGTTGGTCTTTAAGTCACTGCTGGACTCAAATTTTGTTCTACTACTACAGACTACGGTGGCTCAAGTGGTTAAGACGCTGAACTGCAGGCTGTGGAAGGTCAGTAGTTCAGCAGTTCGAGACCCGGGTGCCGCAAGACGGAGTGAGCTCCCGTCTCTAGTTCCAGCTCCTGCCAACCTAGCAGTTCAAAAGCAAGAAATTGCAAGTAGATAAATAGGTACCACTTCGGTGGGAAGGTAACAGCGTTCCGTGCGCCTTGGTGTTTAGTCATGCCGGCCACATGACCACGGAAACCTCTTCGGACAGCGCTGGCTCTTCGGCTTTGAGACGGAGATGAGCACCGCAACCCTAGAGTCGGATTCGACTGGCTTTCGAGCAAGGGAACCTTTACCTTTACTTTACTACAGACTAACAAAGCTATCCAACCGAAACAGACAGCAGGCACACTGTTGATGATCTGATCTATTGGCCAGAAGCAGCAGGTTATCTTTAACGTGTCAAAGCATGCACACCATCTAACATGGATAGCCACTATTTTTGTTTGATCTCATGGTACTGCAGTTTTAGCCAGATCAAGGCTCTGAATCACAGTCACCATTTATATAAGAACTCCTGAGCTAGGATTGACTGCTATTATGAGGAGACCTGAACAGAGCTTAAAGATTCCAGTGAGCAAGGCTACCAGCACCCTGAGGATGTCGTGTATAAACTGAGTCGCCAGGGAAAGCAGGGACCGTCGGAAGTCAGAGGATTTGGGCAGTGGCAACACATGCCCAGGTACATGAATACATCTATCAGCACCACCACTAATTTTCTCCTGGACACTTAAAACAGGAGTTGTTACTGTCAAATCAAATCGACTATCTGCTAATGCAATTCAACACACAAGTTTGTACAGTGAGAGCTTTAAACAATACCACACATGGGCAGAAAAGCAGGACGATTCACTGAAGTGCAGGAGGCACTCGTGTGTGCATTATTTGTGCTGGCGGCCACTACAGCGAAGAAAGACAGGACATGAAAGGCACCGCTTTGGGAAGGCCTTTGTTTATTCAAGATCCTGCCGACATCTTTTTTGTTATTTAAAAGTAATTGTTTCAAAAGCCCTTCAGGGTTATTTAAAGCTGTTCGGGATTGATCTGAGTAGCGCTTGGGGGAACGTCAGCTGAGATGCCCTCTATAAAAGAGCAAAGAAATAACTTACAATAGGCTACATTTATTTCCCCAAGGCTCATAATATTTGAGTTTATAGTTTTTATCTACAAAATTCCTAAGTTACTAGCTTTCAGTGTGACAGGAAGGCAAACAAATTTTTGTCAGTGGAAGGGGAACTTAATTATTTGTTTGATATGCATTTTATATATTACTAAGGAAGACAATGGGGGGGATAATGAAATTCTATGCAACGACAGGTTAGGAAAACCAAGAAATCTACTCTGATTGAAAAACCAGCAACACAAATATTACTAATTGCTGAACTATTAAGTGCGGCCCCTCAGGAAAGCATGAGGAATAGATCAGGGGCGTGCAGCAGGTGAAGTGGTGAAACCTCCCTCCCTGCAATCCACAGAAATCCTCTCTGCATCCAACCCCTTCTTCTGTAACAGAATGTTAAGGAAAGGCACACAAGTTTATTAAACTTAGAAAAACCTAGCAGGTAAAGCCATCTTATAAAAACTTACCTCAGAATCATCTTTAATATTGTCATGCTTCCGGGCTGAAGGAATATAGGGTACTGTAAGACAAAATGAACAAAGTAGAATAGGACAACCAATGGATATATTGCAAAAAAAGGCCAGTAGGGTTTTGGCAGTGTTTTGTCAACAGCAACCCCATGCTCTAAACGTTCACTTACTTTTGACAGTATGGAAGTTCCAAAAGCAGGTTTTGATACAGCATTGGAGGAGGGGGGTGGATTCTACTGTGTTCAAAGTAAAAAAAACCTTGATCTATGGCCAAAGTGTTTTTGTATTCTTTTCCATAGTTGGCAAGCTTATTAGAGGAGAACACCATCAACACGCTATTTTAAACATTTAATTCCAAATGGTCAAAGAAGCTAAAAGAATATGGTTAAAATACAAACGTCACCCACTTGACTTTTAAGAAATATATACCCAAACCCTAGAATGTCTACCTAGCTTGTAAAGTCAACTGAAACCAGCATGCTTTGTGTTTCTTCTTGAAGGCCCAGGGAGAAGTGTATGGTCTGGCTGACCTCCTTCAGTGAGTCATTCCATACCCTAGGATGCAGCCACAGCAGTCGTTCTCACTCCCTGTGCTGTAGGCATACACAAGCAGGGGCTCACCAGGAGATGTGAGTAGCCGGCAGGACTCCTTGGGTTGCTTAGGAGAAAGACAGAGCTGCCAGTCGAGAGACTAACCTAAGGGAGGATGCCCCTGCTCCTGCCTGCCAACACAGGGGGAGGGGGTTTAGAAAGAACAGCAACTGCGGCAGTTACAGGAAGCTTGAGAAGATGACCATTCCTGGCACATCTCTCCAGAACTGGCAAAACATTCTCTCTTTGCCAAAAACAAAACCCCGTCAGACAGAGCTCCGCAAGTCGCTTCATGGGCAACAACTGTTTTATGCGCACAGTACATTGCTGGAGATCTGAACTTCTTTGGGAGCTGGCGCGGCCCAGTAATGAATGAAACAAGCAACCACAGTGACCGGGGGGGGGGGTGGGATCAGTGTTCCCTCTAAGCTGAGTTAGTGTGAGCCAGCTCACAGTTTTTTAGCCTCCGGCTCACACATTTTTGTCTTAGCTCAGGAAGGAGGGCTCCAGAGCAAACTGATTTATGCAGTAGCCAAATTGCTCGCTCAGAACTTTAATGCCAGCAGCTCACAAAGTAGAATTGGTTGCTCCTAAGACTCCACAGCTCAGAGGGAGCATTGGTTGGGATCACTTCTGGAGGATACTTACTTCCATCGTTTTCTTCTGTGGGAATGTCACCTTCATCATTCTTATCGTCTAACTGAGGTTCCTGGGAAGGCATCACAGAATCCTGTAAGAATATATATTACTGAAAAAAAATATTTCAGCACTTAACATCAGTGATGAATTTTCTTTACATCTGGCTTGCTCCCTGAAGGCCTAAGAACATATCCTCAAGTTTACCTTGCCAGCTAAGGTATGGGGGGGGGGGAGAGCGAGAGCGAGCGCTGGGTTCGAGTCCAGTAGCACCTTAAGAGACCAGCAAGAGTTTCAGGGTATAAGCTTTCTAAAGTCAAATTTCACTTCATCAGACACGAATAGGAAAGGAGATCTGTGTCTTTCAATCCCAGTGAGAAGGTGGAAGGGTTTTGTAAAGAATGCGTGTACAGACTGCTTATTGCTGTCTGCTCGACCCACTGTACACAACCTTTACTGCCTATGAATTCATTTCCAAAAGGGAAAGAAACTCATTTTGATAAACTTGAAATATGAGCTCAAACAGAATTAAAGATTTCTAAGGTTGTCTTGTGGGAGAGGGCAGTAACTACAGACAGCAAAGGAAAAAAACCTGTAGATCTTAGTGGGTGAAGAGAGAATTTGAGAACGATGTGATTCAATTCTGCAAGTTCATCAAGGCAAGGATGAGCAACTTGCGGCCCACGCAGCACATCTAAATCCCCAAAATGTTTAGCTGTCACCTGCAAGCGCTGAAAAATGCCATTTCTGTCACATGGTTGCTGAGAAATTTTCAAATATGACTGCACAAATTAAGATTGGAAACCAGTAAAAACAGAAGCCTCCATGATTTCTTGGGGATACTTCACAAAAGGCAATTTCCTACAGACAACACTTCTGGGTAAGAAAGCCATTTGTGTTTGTACTGCAATGCATTTTATTGTGTGTGCGTGTTTTCAGTTCTGCAGTCATCTCGGTCTCTCCTGCTCTCCCCTTACTATACATTGTAGAGTATGAAGTGAGTACAGTCAGTGACTCTAGTAGGAGGACCTTTTCAGCAGTAGAGTCTAAGTTAGTATATGTCATACTTCAAAAGGCTCACCTCCTCCTATGCCAACTAAAGAACTCGGTGCATTGTTTTGCAAGATATTCAAGTATTTAATAGAGATGAAGATCTCAATGCACACCCTTTGGAAACAAACATCCAGAATACCCATTACCATAAATTAATTCACATCCCATAGAAAGCAATGGGCAACATATGTATGACAACTTTTCAAAAGGCAGTGCAAGGCATTAGCTTCTAAGCAATAGCTAAGGCTCTTAAATGGTTTTAGGGACCAGATGTCATACGAATGTCATATACATGAATTTCGTACTGGGATTCTGTCTGATAAAATTCTACAAGAAGTATCCTGCCTCCTTAACATGATGGTAAAGAATTATCTTCAGGTACACACAAGCCCTGTTCTGTATTAATAGCACATAACTGTGGATGTCTTAAACCAAAATCAAACAACTTTTTAAAATTTAAAAGCCACTCTGAATGCCATCATTCTGTGCACTAAGTGCAAATGCTGTTCAAGGCGTCAACAACCAGCATTATTTTGTTTTTGTACAGTTCTTGAAAAGTTATTCTAAACATAAAGGGAGGAAAGACAGAGCCAAACACAAACAGATATTTTAACACCAGTTAAGAGAATGCAGCATCCATAAACAGACAGCGAGAAAAAGCTGCTGTAGTTTTTATAGGTCCAACTCCCTAACTCCCGTGTCTGAGTCCTACAGCAGCAGCTATCTTAGTTTTCCAAGCACTGCTTTAACAAACTGAACTTATCACACTAAAAACCCTGGGAGACCAACGTAAGAGCAGCCACAGGTGCTCATGAACTACCTTACATCCCTTGGGGCTGAATACACTTGGCAGGAGCTGGAACAGATTTAGGACACAGGGAAACCAATGGAAGCTGTAGGTGAGCAACAAATCCCAGAACTATTTTAAAAGAGTATAATCGTGGCATGCTTTGCGTTTTCAGTGTGAAGATTTTCAGATTCTGATCACAATGGGCAGTTTCCAGTGCGGATCAGCTGGAAACAAGTACATTAATAAGGGTCCAGTAAGAAATGGAACTGAAAGTGAGATCATAATTATACATAAGACTGGTATGTACGCATTATTACCACAAGAGACAATATCCCTGTAAAAGAGCATGTTTTGCAAAAGCAACTCTGAAATAAGTCTGATTTGTACAGATCTAGGTAAGGGAAAAGGCAAGCTTGCCCCCCCCCCCCAAGAGCTTAATGCCTCACACCAAAACAAGACACAGAGTCAACTGTAATGGAAAGTCTAGAGAGATTATTAGCAGGAGAGGACCATGAGAATTACACAATATTGGGGGAAGGGAGGTTGCAGTGAAGATTATTTCTGCAGGTTAAGAGAAGGTAGGCCTAGGAATGTAATTGAGATGCCTTGTGAACCATGAGGAATGCCTATTGCAAAGAATGAGAGCAGATAGATAGATCCATGAAGCTAAAAGCAGAGCATCAATGCTACATCTGGAAATATGCCAGAAATATGGCCCTAAATGGACCAGCGCTTGGGTTCGGGGGGAAGTCCTCTGTGTGCTATTTTTAAGATGCATCGGAGACACTGTTCCTCACACAATGGGGACTGAGTGAGAAAACAACCAAGACCTGATTGTGCACAATGCACTGTGTACAGCTGAGTGGGAACTGCTCTTGAAAACTACATCATGAGATCTGCTTGGAGCATCTACATGCCAGGAGCACGGGAAGATGAAATTATGGAATTAGAAGAAAAGGAGATTGGATTTATACCCCGCCCTTCACTACCTGAAGGAATCTCAGAGCGGCTTACAATCTCCTTTCCCTTCCCCTCCCCACAACAGACACCCTGTGAGGTAGGTGGGGCTGAGAGAGCTCTTTCAAGGACTGCTCTTGAGAGAACAGCTCTGAAAGAACTTGTGACTGGCCCAAGGTCACTCCAGCAGCTGCAAGTGGAAGAGTGGGGAATCGAACCCGGTTCTCCCAAATCAGAGTCCACGCTCCTAACCACTACACCAAAGACAATAATGCTAGGGAAAGTTGAAGGCAGCAGGAAAAGAGGATGACCCGACATGAGATGGATCAACTCAGTCAAGGAAGCCAGGGCCCACAGTTTGCAAAATGTGAGCTCGGCATTTAACGCTAGGACATTTTGGAGGCCATTAATTCATAGGGTCGCCATAAGTCGGAAGCAACTTGATGGCACATAACACACATATAGTTTGGACCCCACAGTAAATCTCTTTTATGGAAAGACGCTTCCGCCAGCAGAAAGGGGCTTCCAGGATCCCCAGAAGAAGAATGAGGGATGGATCCGTGACTTACAGCCAAGACTGGAGATCAGCACAAACACACCACATTAGCAGAAATCTACTATGGGATGCAAGTTGCAGTTACCAACTTTATTCCAATTCTGCCCCCACTCTTCTTCCAAGGAGCTCGGTGCAGCGCATGTGGCTGCTCTCCCTTGGTGGAGACCGCCGAGGAATACCAGAGCCATGATGCAGAGGCAGGCAATGGCAGACCACCTCTGAATGTCTCTTGCCTTGAAGACCCCACGGAGTCACCATAAGTGACTTGATAGTAAAAATAAATAAATGAGGAATTGCACAGTGAGCTTGGGGGGGGGGGAGCAGGAATTTGAATCTAGATCTCTCAAATTTAAATCCAGCACACCAACAATTATATCACACCGCCTCTCAGACAAAGGAAGGTCATAAGGAAAGGGGCCCTAAGATGAGCGGTAAGAAGACAAACTGGCTTTTTGCCTAACTGAGGGGGAGGTATTACTGAGAATTTTTGACAAAGATTTTCCTAAGTGAATACCAGATTTGGTTGTGGTTATGGAAACTTGTGATACCTGACAATGATTTGCAGTTTTATACAATATTTGTTTTTTATTGCTGTGAACCTGAGATTCTGACTGTTGCTTATAGATGCTGATTGTGTACAGTGGCTTGTTGATGTTTTTACTATGATTATGTTCGGCTATAATGAACCTTGGGTGCTCTTCTAAAACAGGAAGGTAGGCTATAATTCTCTTGAGCACACTGTACAGAATTTACTGGTCAAGACAAATATACTTCTTGGATTCTGATCTACTGTAGCATAAATTACTTCCCTTCCCATCAACTCCTGAGAAACAGGCTGGGGGTGGGAGGGGAAGACACAAGGCTACAATACCAACTTCTTTTCAAGCGAACGAACCACACATCTCTTTGATTTTCACAGAGCTACAAGGAGTCCTATAAGATATTTTGCAAGCAGGAGCAAAACCTCCACAGAAGCCAGACTTACCATATGCCTTTTGCAGGTCAGTGGGACAAGTATGTGACAGCGTTTATGGACCAACAACTTGCAGTTGATACACTTGTAGCCTTGCCTTCCGAGACCCCATATCCTTTCACTGCACTGGCCACAGTATGCTCTCTTAGAAAGAGACAAAAAAAATTACACATCACCTTTCAAGTTACAACCACTTCGTGATAGCCTCCAAGTCAATGGAAGAATTCAAAAGCATTTTACACATTCAAAGCTACTAAATGAAAACGGCAGCCAAAGAGAGAAGTCACTCAAGTTTCTACAGAGATGATGCATTTGTTTCCTCGTGTGTGTCTTTTGCTGGCTTGAAGGCTCAGTGCTCTCAAGATTTTGCTCATTCAACTCACTGGCCAAGACCTAAAGAAATGCAAGACTACTAGACATGTGTGTGCCTAAAGCTAGGTTCAGATTTGCAGCTCTCAAACAGCATGGCCAGCAACTGTTGAAGTAGAGAGGAATTTCAGAAAAATAAGATGAGTGGCTGCTGAATTCTGCTTACACCTGGATGTGTGCATGCTTAAAGCAGCTCTTTAGGTTCTAGCAACTTACCTTAATTTAAATGATTCATACCTAAGCATGCACACAAATTCAGTGCACAGTTGTTTGGATATCTCCCAGTCTGGTTTCAGGCCTGGTCATAGGCTTGAAATGGTCTTGATTGCCTTGGTGGATGACCTGTGCCAGGAGACGGACAGGAGGAGCACAATACTATTAATTCTCCTGGACGTCTTGGTGGCTTTTGATACCATCAATCACAGTATCCTTCTGGATCACCTTTCGTGGCTGGGAATGGGAAGCACTATTTTGCAGTGGTTTTGGTCCTATCTCTGGCTGACAGGGTTCCCTAATGTTTTTCAGCATCTATGTAAAACCCCTGGGAGAGGTCATCCAGAGATGTGGGCTGAGTTGGGCTCTATCTTGGGCTCCCAGCAGAATCCCAGGGAGGATGTGGAAACTATGAAACTGTGAACACTGTTTTGAGATGGATAAGGGCTGGCAATCTGAAATTTAATCACGACAAAACAAGGGTGCTACTGGTGGGGGATGGTTTGACCCAGGAATGGGGATATCCCATGTTCTGGATGGGGTTGCACTCCCCTTAAAGGAGCAGGTTTATAGCTTGAGGTGCTGCTGGTCCCAGATAAACAGGAGGCAGTGGTGGCCAGGGGGTGCCGTCCAGCAGCTCCAGCTGGTGAGCCAGCTGCAGCCATTCCTGCATAGGAAAGATCTTGCCACTGTGGTGCATGTCCTGGTAATATCTAGATTAGATTACTGCTAAGTCCTCTACATGGGGCTTCCCTTGAAGACTGCTTAGAAACGGAATTTGGTAGAGAAAGCTTCAGCCAGAACGGTGACTGGAGTAAATCATAAGGCCCATATCACTCGTGACTAGTTCCACCTACACTGACACTCGACTTGCTTCTGGACCCAATTCAAGGTACTGACACTGAAAGCCAGCTTGAAGCCATCATACCTTAAGGTCTGACTTATCCTATATGAACCAATCCATCCACTCCAGTTACATTTGGAGAACTTGCTTCAGGTGTTCCTACTATGGGTCTGCCAGAAAGACAGGCACAAACAGGCTGCTTAGCCTGGCCCACCCACTTAAATCTGCTAGCATATTTAGATATGATGCTGATCAATCAATTAATATACAATCTAGTTTAAAAACCTTCCCACAAAGAAAGGTGTTCCCTACCATCTGAGATTAGGCATGTAGCAACCAAAGAAAAGGTCTTCTCTCCCCAGAGAGATTCATCTGTCTCCCTCTGTCACTGTCTTCTACAAGGAGGTAAAGGCTTTGTTTTGCATGGTGTACCCCCAATAAACTCTTATTGACCCTCCTCCTTGGTTGTGCTATGTTGCATGTCTATATGTTTTCACTGTATTGTTAAACATTTTACATATTCATTTCAAATGCTGTTTTAATGTTTTAAAGGTTTTAGAAGAAGAGATTGGATTTATATCCCGCCCTTCACTTGGGAGCTTACAAATTTCTTTCCCTTCCCCTCCCCACAACAGACACCCTGTGAGGTAGGTGGGGCTGAGAGAGCTCTTTTAAGAACTGCCCTTTCAAGGACAGCTCTTGTCAGAACTATGGCTTGCCCAAGGTCATCCAGCAGCTGCTTGTGGAGGAGTGGGGAATCGAACCCGGTTCTCCCAGATTAGAGACACCTAACCACTACACCAAACTAGCTCTCTTTTAAAGTATTGATGTTCACTGCCTTGGAACCCCTTTGGGTAGAAAGGTGACATAGAAATATTTTAACTAAAAATCAAAACATAAAATAACAGTTTACCCACAGAACTGAGGCAAGTCTCAGTTCTACCCATCATCATCACAAGAGGCATTTTGTGGTTACACCTGAAGATGAGGTCCTGCCTTAAATGCACACGCTACTATTATATTCCCCACTGCGAGGCATACAGATACAAAACGGAATGGGTATTGCATCTGCAGAAGAAAATAAAGCTAGCAATGACTACGGAGGCATTCCAGAGGCAGAGAGAGTGGTTTTCCTACCATGAAAAGAATGAGAGGTGTGCCCCAAGGATCGGGGGGGGGGGGGGGGGGGGGGGAGTTTAGAAGAAACTGGAGTAGTCTAGAGCTTGAAGCAAAGATTTATTCAGGTCAATGGAACAAGGCAATGACATCCCACTGCTGGATAGCCAGATGCTCAAGGCAATTTTTAAAAAACCCTATATAGAGCTATGATTATAGATGGAGAGTGTGCACATAAGCTGATACAATAGCTAAAAGGATTTCCCTCCTCCCCATAGCTTTTATTTTCCTCCTCCCCCTTTCCGTGCTCCTATAGATAACATTTCACCTTGGCTTAATTGGTATGATTAAAAGCTAAGCTAGACACCACAGAAGAATGAATAGCTCATTAAAGGGGGGGGGAAACCATCACTGAGGTGGCACATACTCGACTAGCATGAAGAGGATGCAGACATTTCCAAGGGTTTTATTTTCTGCCCTAACAGAAAACAGAAGCAGAGGCTCCTCAACCAAAGCTGAGCCTTGGGAAGCAACAAGCAGCATTTTGATCTTGCTGCACATCAAACAGCGCCAGTGAATTCCCAGCGGTCCTGCATTAGGAATCAAAGGGGTGTGATCAGTGCAGAGTTCCTCGGCTTAACACGGGCACGGGGAAACAAACGTTGTGCTTATGATGTTAATAAATCCCCAGAGAGCATCTCTAATGATTCCTATCTATCAGCTTAGATTCCTATCTAATCTGGGAGGCCAGAATCGCCCAGAACCCCCATTTTGCTACCTTTGCCTCTGACTCCAGAACTCGTCGGGCAGTTTTAAAGTCGAGCCCATCTTGTGAAGCCTAGAGCTGAAGACGGGGTCCCCCAATACCACAGTACTTCAAAGAGAAAATTGTTTGCTAAAGGCTTCTTACCGACACATATCTGGCCCTTAAAAAAAAAGAGAAATAGCATATTCTCTTGCAAGTGTTCATTAATTAGCAGTCAGCAATCCAGTGATGAAGAAGCAGGACTTTCTGAGGCCAAAATATACACATCCCATGCCTTTCAAGCCAAGTAGTGCCAGTTTGATCTAGCTTCTGGCTCCCGGCAAAGCACGGGCCCCTCCGGTGAACAAATGTTAACTAGCAAACAGCCAAGCCTTTGGGTCAATGCGAACCATCTAAATCACCTATGGAAGACACCAAAAGAGCTGGGAAAGTCACATTAACATACTGCTTTCCTTCTGATCACCTCCCAGAAACAAGCCAATTTGAACACACAGCAGCCAGTCCCTGTATTTAGCCTGAGTGTGCTTCCATATTGTATCCCATCAGTGATACCTCCTTCATCCATCCCCACACAACAGCCCTGTTTTTGGCAGCAGCGTGTCTTTTTCCCCTCCAGAGAGAGAAACCACACACCCCAACACACCCCTCTCAATAATACACGTCATCGCTATACATTTAATCACTATAGCAACTCACATCTTCTCCAAAAAAATCATCTCAGTAGAAAACACAGCTACTCTCTGTAGCAGAATCTGCTTTGCAAAGAGCAAAAAGATCTGCAAAGAACTTGCCTTAAAACTCAAACACTAGCTATTGCTTGTGTGGCATCAGAACGTTACTTCATTTATATAAAAAAAGCCTCCAAATATTTCCATCATCTGTTGGCTAACTCAGAAAACTCTTTTCCAAAGTATGTTCCACAAACTTTGTTAGTTTTTACTACTTGAAACGAGGTTCCTCCTTCCTGTCTGATCCTCTCCTAGGAAAAAGCAAGTCAACAGGATATTTAACCTGGAACCACAACCCAAGCCTTAAGCACCAAGCCCAATTTGTCTAAAAGGTCACCATTTTTAATCCAGCTCAATCTTCCAGCTACTTTTAAAAACTGGAAATCAGACTCCTCATACACCTTTAAGGGACTCTGCATTAAGACTCTGGATTTATAAACCACTCTATCTATCCCCCTCCAACTAAAAATAATATATACATCCACCAGGGCAAGAGATGATTGGCTTATAAAATGATGGTGTATACACTATGATCCAGTAACAGCCGTCTTAAATGGAAAGGTCAGAGACTCTGCTATAATGACCCGGGTGAAGCAATTTGCTCCAATAAGACGAAACCAAGGCGGGTTTGTCAAGAGTTTCAGCTCAGTGTCATGAAGGGCTGTCACTCTTCTGTGTGGGCAAAGTGCTTTACAATAAGCTAAATTTCGTTATTTTAGGACTCCCAGGGATCAGAAAGAAGGCTAACTGTCGCTTAGAGCAGAAGAGAAAATTATATGTAATTGAGGGCATTTTAAAATTGTAACTAAGCTACCCAGTATATTTTTTTTAAAAGCGTTTCTGCATCTTTGCAAAATGCACATAATGCTGAAGAATAAACCCTAATTTTCAGACCATAGGAGCAATCATGGAAACAGAAGTGCCTGGCTAAGTATCACTGAAGAGCTTTGTTAGAAGCCCCTGGGGCCCAGTTCACACATACAGCTTGCCTGGGGTGGGCTGCTGGACATGGAGCTGTGTAGGAAGCAGTTCCACACGCCAAACCAGCTCTGTGAAGCCCAGTCCTCATGCAGCTTGGATGACTTCATCTGCACCATTACAAACTGGCATTGCCCACACTGCACAGTGAGCTGGTTCATGCAAACAGCTAGCCAGATGGCAGCACATCGACATGGGGCCATTTGAAGCAACCACCGTGAATCCGGAGGGGGGGGGAGTGCTAATGAATCATCATGTTTTTAGGGGACTGGGTTGTGGAGGCTCACAAACACACTCTTTCGGTGTTCAGCTCATGCAAGTTTCTTGGCTGTCCATATCACAAAGGGTGGCAGAGGGACTAGAGTGCAGTATATCACAAGGGATTCGTAATATCACAACTGAAGAGGCGCTTGTTCTCCCCAAGTGTTGAACTTCTGGTGGCTTAGTCTTCAAGGGAGAAGGTGTTGTGCCAAAGTACCCTAAAGGTAACACTTTTGGATAATGCAAGGTAAAGGTTCCCTTGCTCAAAAGCCAGTCGAATCCGACTCTAGGATTGCGGTGCTCATCTCCGTTTCAAAGCCGAAGAGCCAGCGCTGTCCGAAGACATTTCCATGGTCATGTGGCTGGCATGACTAAACACCAAGGCACACGGAACGCTGTTACCTTCCCACTGAAGTGGTACCTATTTATCTACTTGCAATTTCTTGCTTTCGAATGGCTAGGTTGGCAGGAGCTGGAACTAGAGATGGGAGCTCACTCCATCATGTGGCACACTCGGGTCTCGAACTGCTGAACTACCAACCTTCCAAAGCCTGCAGTTCAGCGTCTTAACCACTTGAGCCACCGCAAGAGTGGTGTTTAAACAGATGGTCTTTCCAACAGCTTCTCCTGCATCTTAGCCTTAAATGCCGATACTAGTATGGTCCATATGGAACAAAGCTGAAGCAGCATGGTTTGTAACATTGCGTTAGCATACCCCCTGCTAACTTCTCATTTGCTGGTGCTGCCAGCCTTCATATCAGGCCATGAACTGTAGCTATGTTATAAAGTTTGCTAGACATTATAAGCCCTGACCTGGATGGCTCAGGCTACTCTGATCTGGTTGGATCTCAGAAGGTAAGCAGGGTCAGCCCTTGTTAGTAATTGGATGGGAGACCTCCAAAGAAGTCCAAGGCTGCCATACAGAGGCAGGCAATGGCAAACTACCTCTAGTCATCTCTTGCCTTGAAAACCCTTTGTTGTTCAGTCGCACAGTCGAGTCCGACTCTTCACGACCCCATGGACCAGATCATGCCAGCCCTACAGGGTTGCCATAACTCAGCAGTGACCTGATGGCAATTTCGACCATCACACATTACCAAAAGAATATAGGAACATACCTCGCCAACATTAAAACAACAAAATGTGCCCGAAGAATGTTTGAATAAAAATGTAACAATGCTATAGGAAGTTCAGTATGCTTTCAAAAGTCCCAAACTTTATACTTGTTACCAAAATGAGCCCTCCAATTGTTCAATTGCACAACAAGTGACATTTTAAATTAGAGTTATTTCCATTTTAAGCATTTTAAAAACTGAGATCCATTCCACCTCTATTTGAAGCACCCTTTTCCTTTGCATTGCTAGGGCTTGGTGTGTTTTACTATGGGGGAGATGAGAGTGTTCATGAGTAACATTTAGGATGCAAAATTTAATTCCTTTTCTAAGCAACTTTGCAGTTAAAATACAGCAATACACAACATACACAAGCTGGAAGCCAAACAGCTATGTTGGGTACATCCAAGGATTTGAGAATGTTTGTATTTTTTAAATTTTCCTTTCAAACAACCAATCCCTCCCCCAACACACATCGTATCATTTGCTTCTGAAAACTCCCTCATTTCAAGAGCAGTCTGTGTTGTGTTCTAGAAACATGAGTCCAGAGCTCTCTTAGTTTCCAACACCTAATTGTATGATGGTTTTGGACAACAAGCATTAATTTCATAA